TCGTTAGCTTTTGCAAGATGAATTATTTAAGGAGGCCTTGGCGCTGTGTTCGGAAGAAAAATCAAGGAAGAACGGGTTAACAGCATGCTATAAATGCACGAAGTGTATGCTACTGGTAGGTCAGTTCTCGAGTCTTGCCGACCTATGACCTTGAACTGATCACGGTAGACTGGAATTAAAATTGCTTTGTTCAAATTCTTGAATGAGATTTGTCCTTAACGGACTATTTATGAAATTGAAATCCAATTTTACGAAATCCGATGACAGCTTAATATTGGGAATGAAATATAAATGAAACTTCTTTCGTGAAAGTGTTAAACGGTACAATAAAATAATTTGGTAAGCTAAGTATTTACACTGTTTTTTCTGGATATCGAAGTATAAGACCAGATTTCCTCATCCTGACCAATTAATCGAAAAGATACCTTTAGGATAAACAATCTTGCAGCGTATAAAGAAGCCTTTTATACCAATATTATTACCGAGATTGTCAAACCGATTTGTCAAACCATTCAAAATGCGGGGAACTTTCCGGAAGAATGTTTGAAATTTATCATTCCTAATTAGATAAAAAAAGATGCCCTAGCTCCTTATTTAATTTGGTAGCATATTTCAATTAAAACTTAGATGGTTAGCATCAATGTGAATTCAGACTTGAGTACTGATATCATCTTCGCCAGGTAAATCAATATTCGTTATTGCATTTTGAAACCCAATAGTACGAATATAACTTAACGATTACTTGAAATGCCTTCATTCAATTCTCTTATTATAAAAATCTTGCCTTCTGCATCTCAGGATGCTGCCAACCTGAAATTTCAACTTATACATTCTGTACAATTTCTTTATTTCCTTAAATGGTAATTCCTCTTGTGTACACTTTTTTATCTTTCCTTTCGTAATTTTCATGATGGTTGTGTTGCGAGAAGTATCATTATAGTAATACTTTCCCAGAATTCTCAATCGATCGATGTTATGCCTGTTGTTATCATCTATAAATTTTTTTGTGAACTTTTTTATTTGCCAATTTCCAGCTCAGTATTTCCTTCTACTATTCACTTGCCTTTTT